GCTTAATGGAAGGGGCAGTGCCCAGAGCATCCTGATAACAGGGTTGGTGCAGGGCTGGGGAGATAGCTCAGCCAGTAAGGAACATACCTTGCAAACACTAGGACCTGAGTTCAATCCCCAGAACCCTTATAAAATCAAGTCAGGCATGATGCCACATACTTCAATTCCCAGATGGCTAAGTCAAGTGATTTGGTATAGTCATCAGCTAATTGCACAGTTTGGCATGTGTCCCCAGGGGCTTCCCATACATTGCACACACTAAGATGTGAGTGTCCCGGGTCTGGAGGGCTGGGGCAGTGATAAGGACATCACACCTGAGGAGAACACTGGGATCCACACAGCAGGCAGGTACCTCAATGAGCCCACTGGTTGAAACATTTGCTGAGTCTGCAGGCGCTTAGCCTTGTTACCAACAGAAGATCAGAATTACTGTGGTCCCAAGCTCTAGCCAACCCCAGATCTGTGGTGATATCTTGCTTGTACAAATAAAGTCTGTCTGAAGGTCAGAGAATGGAGCTTGCCACTGGCTAACCATAGAGGTCTGAAGGTCTATACAGACAGACAGGAAGTGAGGTAGCTGGGTGGAAACAGGATATAAGCAGGAACTAGTGCTCTTGTCTCTGCTGAGACACTAAGGAGGTAAGGAGTGGCAGTGGTTTACTCCTTCTCTCTGATCTCTCAGCATTTTCCTCAATATATGACTCTGGGTTTTTATTGCTTAGACCAATTAAGAACTCGATTTACACAGATCACGTCTCTGTGACCAGACCTTGGCAAGTTATAAAACCTCCCAAACTCACTTTTACCATCTCAGTGGTAGGGACCACAGACAGTTACACGCTGGGTTATTAAAAATACAGAAGAGAAAGTTGTTGGGGAAGTCCTGTTATTTGCCTGTTATTTGTCAATAAAGTACTGTTGAGCCTATAGGAATCTAGAGAGGTGGGACTAGGAGTCCAGGAGGATTCTGGGAAGGAGAAACACAAGAGAGTCAACATGTAACGCCATGGGGGTAGGAAGCCTGGAACTATTCTCTGGTAAGAAACATACTTAGATTAACAATTATGGGGTAATTACTTAAGTCAGAGCTAGCTAGTAAGAAACAAGCAAGGCCAACAGCTTCATAATTAATATAGCCTCCTGTGTGTTTATTTGGGACTGATACGGCTCTAGAACCAGGCTGGTGGGAAAGCGGCTCTGGAACCAGGCTGGCGGAATGGCTCCTTCTCAAGGAAAAAGCTTCTCTTAACAGAAAGTATTTGGGGAACTTGGCACAATACCTAGTAAATATTAACTCCTTCTCCTAATATGACCTGGTAGTGCACTGACTATAATCCTAACCCTGGGGCAGTGGGAACAAGATGATCAGAAGTTCAAGGCTAGCCTGGGATACATGAGATCTTCTATTCTCTCTCTCTCTCTCACACACACACACTAGCTCTGTGGCCTCTGAGCGGCTCTAAGCTGAGATGGTGGTGATGCCGGGAGACGATAAAAGATACAGAAGAAGCTGCAAAGTGCAGTGAGCTGTGTGTGCCCCTCCTCCCATACCAAGTTCAAAAGGGCTGTTTAGCTCTTGACTTTCTCAAGGGGGAACTGAGGGTGACAGCAGCCTTTTCAGTAGGGATTAAAGGCAGCCCCGTGGGGAGTTAGTAGCAGGATGCCAGCCTTCCAAACCAGCAGGGAGACACGGAATCAATCACCTCTGCTGAAGGAGCTCTTCTTTGTACCATGTGATTTCTTTTTAATGGCAGATCAAATGCACCCATTAGGGCAAACATGATTCTGTAAAATTCCTCCATTAAAACACTGAGGTCCTCAGACCATAAGAGCAAAGCCCGGCCATATGCACCTTCAGAGACTCCTGCCTCAGCAGGAAGTGAGGAAGAAGGAGGCAGCAGATGTGCTCTGGCCCCAGAGAGACAACAAGAGCCATGTCAGAAAACTACATGCTGTGGACAACTGCCTGATGCCCTTGGAGTTTTAACCTTAGATACATGAGTCACATGACACAGACCAAAAATGTATAAAATACAGACTGGGGAGATGGCTCTGTCGGTGAAGTGCATGCTGTGACAGCATGAGAACCTGAGTTTGAGTTCCAGAATCCACATTTTAAAAGCCTTGTGTGACGGCACGCTCTTAGTCCCAGCACTAGGGAGGCTGGGTGGATCCTTGTGACTTGTGGGCCAGCCTGGCCTACTTGGCAAGTTTCAGACTAATGGAGGACTCTGTCTCAAAAAGCAAGGTAGCACTGATGAGATGGCTCAACATACAAAGGAGCTTGCAGCCAAACTGACAACTTGAATTCAATCCCAAGGCTTAGATGGTAGAGGGAGAGAATTAACTCCCGTGAATTGTCCTTTGACCTCAACACCTGTGCTAGGGAACACATGTACATAATAAATGTGATTTTAAAAAACCAAAGTGGGCCAGGTGGTGGCGGCACACACCTTTAATCCTGGCACTCAGGAGGTAGAGGCAGACAGATCTCTGTGAGTTCGAGACCATACTGGTCTACAAGAGCTAGTTCCAGGACAGCCTCCAAAGCCACAGAGAAACCCTATCCCAAAACAACAAAAATAAATAAATAAATAAATAAATAAAATTAATGAATAAATAAATACATAAATAAATAAAGCAAAGTGGCCGGTACCTAAAGAAGAGCAGCACTCAAGGTTGACACCTGTTAATTTGTGTGTGTGTGTGTGTGTGTGTGTAAAGCACAAATGACCAGTAACAGCATCTATTCATCTATCCATATATCTATCCACCTAACCATCTATCTGCCAATCAATATACTCATCTATCTATCCATCATTCTATCCATATATCCACCCACCCATCCGTCCATATGTTCATTCCTATCCATTCATGAATGCATCCATCTGTCTGTCCATCACTACATCTACCTATCCTTCATTGTATCCATCTATCCATCCATCCACTCAATCACACATACACGCATATGCCAACCCAGCCCTACCCAGCCATCCATCCACCCACCCAATACCCACCAAGCATCTTCTCCCTACACCAAGATGTTGAGAATTTGATGAACTACACAGATGAGATGCAAAAGTTATCAAATTTAATAATTCCCCCTAGGTACAGAAACAGATGAGTAAAGCAAATTAAAATATGGATGTGGGAAAGAGCCTTGGGACCTGGCAGGGTGGAGCAGGCATGCTGAGGTGCCAGGTGGAGCTCCTTGTTCCATTTGACACGTTTCACCAGGATCCTATGCTATGCTATCAGAGTGCTCTCTCTCTCTCTCTCTCTCTCTCTCTCTCTCTCTCTCTCTCTCTCTCTCTCTCTCTCAGAGCTTCTGTTTTGCTAGGGAGGAAGCAAATGAATAAAAATGAAAACAAGAAAGAAAAATTACTTCAGAGCACACAGAGCCATGAAGAATGGATTCTTAAGCCCTGGAGAAGCAAGTCTGGGGCAGAAGAGTCCTTTGTGGGACTCAGGCTAGGCCTAAGGGCAGGAGGAGCAGGGAGGCTGCAGAAGCAAGATGAGAAAGCTGACTGGGACCAGCTCGTGCTGGGACATTTAGATGCTATACTTAGATCAAGCAGTAACCCACACAGAGAGCTGGGGATCTTGGACAGCACCTCACAGCGGACAGGAGCCACTGTGGGGATCAGATGGTAAAATCTGCTGTGATCATGGGGCTAATTGATGGATGATACCAGCTGTGGGTGGCAAAGAGCATCCCTTCTGCAGGAAGAAAATGAAGAAGGTGGTCCCAGCCTGTCACACAGGAGAGGTAGAAAGCCAAGATTTACCAACCACCCGTCAATGGAAGGGGGCAGACTCAACAGAGACAGACCAGCCATTGCTCTAAGGAGTCACAAAGGGGCCTGGGTCTAGAAAACGGTGCCTTCCCAGTCTGCACATTTAACTCCCTCCTCAAGGAAACATCAGAGTTGATCACGCCTCCATTCTCATCTTCATCTATTCCTCCAGCGACCTGGAAGCCTCATGTGGACACTTACTTGCTTTCTCAGCATGAAACTCTCCACCTGAGAAAGGCTTCCTGGTGACCTTTCTCTCTGAGGTACCAGGAGGTTTGCACAAGATTGTTTTGCAAGGACACAGTGGGTGCTCAACAAACGTCGGACCCCAGTTCCCGTTCTGAAGATTGTCCTGTGCCTCCTGGCTGGCTGGTGCTCTGCAGTGAGTATGGAGACAGGATGACAGGAGACAGTGTTGTGCATCCAAGAGATGCTGGCAGGGAGAGATGGTGCCATGGCAATCACATTTCCAGATCTGTTTTCCGTGCTACGGAGAATATGAGAATCAGGAAGCAGACCCATTTTAAAGGCGGAACCTGTCTGGGAGCAAGTGTGGGCAGCTCCAGGCCCATAAGAGCTTGAGCAGATGGGGTGGGAATCACCTTCCAGGCAGAGTAGGTAGTCGTGATCTCGGGGAAGCCAGGCAGAGTCTGTGAATCTACCCCTTCTCCCCCCCTCTACCTGCCAGAAGATCCGGCACCTCCAGCAGTAACAAGGCAGAGTGAGGCTGGTGAGGCAAGCAAGCAGGTTTCTTCTTGACAAGCAGCCTATGATGCCCAAGGAATCAACTCTTCAGCCACCGACTTGCACGCCTGGCAAAACAGACTCCATCTTTAGAGCTCACCCATCACAGATACCAAGAGCTTTTCATTCACCTGTAAGCCTTCGATGATCTATTAACAATGACTGTTTTAGATAAGGAGTGAAAAGTGCTGTCGCTAATTAGCAATGTCTGCTTGGGCACTAGAAGCAGAGTGTTGTGTCTGATGGCAAGTATGTGTCCATGAGGCCAATGAGTCCCTACTGTAAGTGAAAAGGGACATCCAGAGGTCCAAAGGCCACCAATACCAATACCAATTTGCTTTTTCTCTCTTACCCATTGCTAATTAAGCAAGCAAAAAAACACATTGGCACAGGAGACTGACTTACCTCCTCACTTCCAATAAATACAACATCTTCACCTAGAGTATAATGACTGCTTACCTGACTCTCAACCAGGCTGGGAGGCAGAGATGGCAGATCCTGTATGGGAAAAGAAAAAAGAAAAACACAAAGACAAGGAAGATTCAGTTTTTGCGAAACAATTGCTTTCAGTTTGTTTTCCTCATAGGCAGTAGCTACGACATTACTTCAAAGGGAGTACTTACCCATTCATTCTAAAGTGTTAATTGAGAGAGTAGTAAATGACAATTGGGTTGCAGGATCTTTATTTTTAACAATATGACAAGTGTCTGGACTTGTCAGGAAGGAAATGCAGGATGGTGTTGCAATAAAAAAAAGTCACTGTGTGCAATGATCAGAAGGGGACAGACATGTGGAGGAATGATGGGTGCAAAGGCCCTGGGACTGGGTGGAGAGCGAGGGGAAAATCTAATGAGCCAGCCATGATCAGCAAGAAGAGAACAGGAGGATATTGGGGACCAGAGCATGCTCGGTTTTTATGCCCAACATCTGGAGTTTGCATGCTGTGATGTTTAGATTTGTCATCTTGACACAACACAGAATCACCTGAGAAGAGCCTCCATAAGGGGATGTCTTCACTAGGTTGGCCTGTGGGACTGTCTCTACTAAAACAGTTCATTGATATGGAAAGACACAGGCCACTGTGGGTGGCGCCATTCCCTAGGAAGGGAACCGTAAACCAAATAAGAATGTAGTAGAGCACAAGCATGCATTTATCTCTCTCTGCTCTTGATCTGTGGATGTGACGTGACTATCTACTTGAAGTTCCTGTCTTGAGATCCCCATGGTGATGAACTATGACCTGAACTTATAAGCTGAATAAACCTCTTCTTCTAAGTTGCTTTTGGCCAGGATCTTTTATCACAGCAACAGAAATGAAATAGAATATGCAGCTTTCTAAAAAATTAGGAAGCATAAGCTGATACTTCTTCCTCAAACAATGCCCCAGTTTCTGAGCTAGGGGCCCACTCGGGCAGTCCTCGCTTCTGTGCAGGTGCTCAGTTACAGACCTGTGAGAGTTGAAATGCCCTGCCCCTCCTACCACAGTGGGATACAGCCAAGGATCCAGCCAAGAACACAGACCATACCTCACCAAACATCACTCATGTGGGGAGGTCCAAACCAGACACTCTGAGTGAGCAAACAACAGGAAGACCTGGCATGCAAGGGCTAGCCTGCCCCTGAAGCAACACACCATTCTGCAAGCCAAGAAGGCTGGCTCTTTTCTCTCTGAGGTCAGTCTGCATTTCTGTCGTGGTTGGATTGTCTGTACTGGCTTCTTCCTTCCTTAAGTCACATTGAAACCCAAACTCGTTTTTCCCTCTCAGAAGGTCATATCTGTCTACCATAGCTGTGACCATTACCTTACCAAACATACAGGGAGCCCCTATACTGGTGGCACTTCCAGAATGGAGTTATTACAGAGAGTAGAGACAATGCCAAAACTCACACACAGTCGTGGCTCTGAGGAAGAGTGTGAGGAAGATCCACCCTTCAGAACAGCAGACCAATGCTCTATCAGAGGCACTTGGCTGTGGCAAATGTGATGGCTAATGCTGACTGTCACCTTGACAGGACCCAGCATCACCTAGAAGACAAGCCTCCAGGTGCACCTGTGAGGGACTGTCCTATCAGTTTAATAGAGGAGGGAAGGCCCACCCTAAATGGAGCACCACGCCGGGCTGAGGCCCCAGACTGGATAACAGGAGAAAGTGAACTGAGTGCTAGCATTCACACCTCTGCTTCCTGACTGCAGATGCCATGTGACCACTCTCCTGTCACCATGCCCCCTGCCATGACGGACTGCATCCTCACACGGTGAGCCAAATTAAACCCTTCCTCCCTTAAGTTGCTTTTTTTCAGGCTGTTTTATTACAGCCATAGAACAGGAAAGTAATTAATTAAACAATCAAACATCTGTGGTGTCCCTAAGGTGTGAAGCTGGCAGCCACATAAAATCCACATTATTGAGGCACCATCATTTCTTGAGCTACTACTCCAAGAGTAACATCCAAAACCTACACCTACTCTGTGTGTGTGTGTGTCACACGTGCGCTCATGCATGCACACACATACAAATGTATGTGTGGATGTTCTTGCCCATGCATTGGTGTGTGGAGCCCAGAAGTCAATGTCAGGAGTCCTTTTCTATCACTTTCCACCTTATTTTTGAGACAGATTCTCTCACTGAGCCTGGAGTTCTCTGATGGACTAACTTATTGGCCAGCTAACCCCAGGGACCCACCTGTTTCTGCCCTTCACCCACAGTGTAGGGGTTACAGGTTTGCACCTCTTCCCCCACCCTTTATGAGGATGCTGGGGATCTGAACTCTGACCCCTGTACTTGAGCAGCAAGTACTTTACTCACCTAGCCTCTGCCCAAACCCCCAAAACTATTTCTAAATGCACTGGTGTTTAAAGCATGCCACAGCCTACACGGGAAGGGGTCGCTTTTCTTGTTCCTTGGTTTCAAATTATTGTGCATCAGGGCTTTTTCAAACAATCAGATACCTGGTGACAGGCAACTCCATGAACTCTCTCTCTCTCTCTCTCTCTCTCTCTCTCTCTCTCTCTCTCTCTCTCTCTCTCTCTCTCTCGTGTGTGTGTGTGTGTGTGTGTGTGTGTGTTCATTCCCAGGTTAATGGGAAATAAACATATTCTGCCTCACAACAGGAAGTAATAGGATTCTAGCACAGATGACAGCAGAGGAGGTGGCAACAGGAATCAGTTCACCTCTCTAAGGGAAACATCAGATAAAACAGATCAGGCTCCAGTCCCCCTGTCTAGATGTGAACATTCCACAGATCTTTGAGCTCAGAGAAGGTAGACGGCTCTCCCAGTTAAATGTTCTCCCAGGTAAATGCCTGGCCCTTCTGAGAGAGACAATTAATGAGCTCCAAGGCTGCTCGGGCCAAGATAAATGGTGTGATGGACAAGGAGGGCCATCTCACCACACCACCAAACGGCCATCTTGTCTTCCCATGCTGTCTCATTAGATACCACTGAGGACCCATCCAGCCCACCCTTAGAATGGAAGCTATTTTTGAAATGATTACACAGCTCAAACTTGGGCCCACTTAAAGGCAGAAATGCTGGTTGGGAGAGATACAGATGAACGCCACTTCTTTCTCTCTGCAGGAGATGCTCCGTGGGCTTGAAAGAAAAGTAAAGAGTGCACAAGGGGTTTGTCTTCAGAGAACCACTGTAGAGCTGAGGAGTTAATTCCAAACAGTGTCTGGTGCGATCATCAGGTGCCTGCCCTCCCCAAGCCTGCTGGATGCCTCCTCTCCGTTCTCAGTGTCCGGAAACCTGAGCATCAAGGGAGAGGGGAGAAAGGGCAGGGAACAGAGAAGGGGACAAGGACAGTTGCTGAGGCTGCAGGTCTCAGGACTGCATGGGGACAACTCCAGTTATACTTTGGAGGTGCCAAGAAATTGTACGTAAGAAGTTGACATGTGACCATCCTATGCTCTGATCCATGTCTGTTCTGTGCCAGTGTCACTCACAAATATAGGAAACTCAAGTGACCTGGAACCACTCCCCTTTTCCTCCCTGGCCACGCTGTCTCCTAAAGCCACAGTGAGTGAGAAATCACAGCCATCCCTCAAAGATGATGAGTGGGCCCAGGAGGTGGCTCAGCTGGTAAGTGCTGGCCTTGTAAGATGTGGAGCTGAATTTGAGCCCCGGAGCCCATGTCAGAGAGCCAGGCAAAGACTCTGCCTGCAAAATCAGGGTGGATGGCAGCCTTCAGAGTAGAGGGCTGACTCAGCAGTTAAGAGTGTGTACTGCTATTACAGAGGATCCAAGTTCCATCCCTGGTACCCACTTTGTTTGCCAGCTCACAACTGCCTGTAACTCCAGCTCCAGAAGACCCAACGCCTTCTTTTGGGCACCCACATACATGTGCATACATCCACACAAACACACACACATAAAAATAAAAAAATCTTTAAAAAAAGGTAGACAGAATCTCAAGAAATGCACCCAGAGTTGATCTCTGGCCTCCACATGCACTCCTCACACACACCTGAGTACATGTGTGTGCACACACACACACACACACACACACACACACACACAACACTCACATGAGAATTGATTAAGCCCTCAATCAGTATCTCATTCCTCTCCCCAAAAGAGAAAGAGCAAACACTCCATTTCATAAGCAGAACTTCAACCTCACACAGGAGCATTCCTTCACCAGCCAGCTCCGTGACAGGTATATAATACTCGGAGATCAAGTGACAGTTTTTGCAATGGCTTCTTGTCGATGCCAAACAATGAGGGCTAGGCAGCCTGCATCAGCCCTGGAGTGGGATTACAGCTGGGAAAGCCCTGTCTGGTTCTCCTCTGTTCCTCCTGCATGAGGCTCTGTCAGTGAGGGCAGCCACAGTCTCCAGGAGGATTAGGGAGAAAAGGAAGCAGAGTCTGGTTTTTTTTTGCTATCCAAAGGATTCTGTGGGGCCCAGGTCCAGGGAATATCCCTTGCCTTCCCTGAGAAAGCATGTCACCATGATGAAAAACCTTTACCTGAGTCTCTATCCCCTTTTGGAAAATGCCCCCAGCAGCAGTGGCAGCTGCCCCAATAGAGGGTGGTTCAAAACATGCCTGCTGAGTCCCAGATGCTTGGGAGTCTCCCAACCAAGCTTCTCTATGTGCTCCTCTTTTCCATGGGGGATTCCTTTCCACACAGACCCCTCTCATTGGAGACTCTTTTCCAATGGGGATCTTTTACAATGGGCACCCATCTTTTCAATGAGAAAGAACTCCCTCTTTTTCAAAGGAGACTTACATCCAGCATCCTTAAAAGGAGGGTTGTAATGGTGTGGGCAAAATGTGAAAATCACTCCATTGGAGGACAGTTAAAATGCTGGGTACCCACAATACAACCACTAGCAAGGTCCTTCCTGTCATCATCTCAGCTTTGCAGATGGTGAAAAGAGGCAAGAAAAGTTCTCTGGATCCTAAAGTCACAAATTTGTTTGACCAGACTCTGACCCCAGGACCCCTCTCAGCCAATGACTGACCCCAGGACCCCTCTCAGGCAATGGTTCTATTGA